CTCAGAAGGCTGAGGTGGAAGGATCGCCGGAGCCCAGCAGGTCAAGGCTGCGGTGACCGGTAGCAGCCACTGCTCTCCAGTCTGAGCAACAGAGTGAGACTCCAACTCAATAAAAGAAAAAAAGAATGGAAAATACTTAGATTTTGGTATTACTAAAATAGAGTTTAAATCCCAGCTCAAACTGGGCTCGGTGGCTCAGCCTGTAATCCCAGCGCTTTGGGAGGCTGAGGTGAGTGGATTGCCTGAGCCTGCGGGTTCGAGACCCGCCTGGGCAACTTGGCAAGACCTCGTCTCTACAATAAGTCAAAAACTAGCCGGGCGTGGTAGCGTGCGCCTGTAGTTCCAGCTACTTGGAAGGCTGAGGTGGAAGGATCGCCAGAGCCCAGCAGCTCGAGGCTGCAGTGGCCAGCAGCGGCCATGGCACACCAGTCTGGGTGACAGAGTGAGACTCCAACTAAAAAAATAAATAAATAAATAAAATCCCAGCTCAGTCATTTATCAGCCATGTCACCTTGAACAAGTGATTTAGTCTGTGTCTGTTTCAATTCCCTTACCTGTAAAATGGGCAAACTAATATTTACTCAGCACCTACTGTTTAGTAGGGGCTGTTATTTCTGTTACTGAAACTGTAATAGCACTATATACTTTCTTTCAATGACCACATTTTCTGTGGAATTTGGAGTCTGGTATCTAGTGGGAATGAATTGTAGCAGATGTTGGGCTCCTCTGAATGGGTATGGGGTAGGGTAGTTAGCAAGGTGGAAGAGGGTTCACAGAGGGTATTCAAAGGCTGCCAAAAACAAATTGACCTTATTCTTAGCTGTGCTTATGGCTTTTTAATCTTGGGGGTTTTGATCTGTCTGGACAAATTCTAAGTATTATCCTCACTCCTCCTTGACATTGGTGAGTATGAGATTCCTGCCTAAAACTATGCTGTCCCCTTGGGGATTGAGGTTGGGAAAGTAACCCTATCCAGCCCCACAGTTATGGTCAGAAACCCCTCAGCCTGGTTGTTTTAGGTGACGGCCTTCTCTCTGGACCAGAAACCAGGACTTGGACCACACCAGAAGTGATCAACCCCCCACCATCCCCAAGGACATTCCACACATCATCGGCAGCCATTGGAAACCAACTATATGTCTTCGGGGGTGGAGAGAAAGGCGCCCAGCCTGTGCAGGATGTGAAGCTCCATGTGTTTGACGCAAGTATGAACTTAGGGCTGCCACTTACATAGTCAGGGACACTCTATATAAACTGTAGCTTACCTAATGTAGGAAGCAGAAGTTAGAAAATGAAACCCTGACTATCTCCCTTCTAGACTTCTTTGTTATGTGCCTTAGCTGATATCTTCTTCTCACAGCATAATTGGCATTTAAAAAGACATAAATAGGACAGAGTGGTTGCCACCCATAATCCCAGGTTCAAGACCAACCTGGGCAACTTAGTGAGACCTCATCTCTAATATAAAAAAAAAAATTACGCTGGGGTGGCTGTGAGTGTGTCACTAGACTCCAGCCTGGGTGACGAAGTGAGACTCCAACTCAAAAAAAAAAAAAATTAAAGGTATAAATTATCAAGCTAAAATATTTAGATGGGCTGGACATAGTAGCTTCCACCCATAATCCCAGCACTTTGGGAAGCCAAGGCAGGAGGATCACTTAAGCCCAGGAGTACATGACTACCCTGGACAACATAGTGAGACCCCATCTCTAATTTTAAAAATAAAAATAAATTTAGCCAGGCTCGGTGGCTCAGCCTGTAATCCTGCGCCTTTGGGAGGCTGAGGTGAGTGGATTGCCTGAGCCTGCAGGTTCGACACCCGCCTGGGCAACTTGGTGAGACCTCATCTCTACAATAAATCAAAAAATTAGCCAGGCGTGGTAGCATGCACCTGTAGTTCCAGCTACTCGGAAGGCTGAGGCGGAAGGGTCGCTGGAGCCCAGCGGGTCGAGGCTGTGGTGGCCGGGAGCAGGCACTGCACTCCAGGCTGGGTGACAGAGTGAGACTCCAACTCAAAAATAGATAGATAGATAGATAGATAGATAGATAGATAAATAAGTAAATAAATAAATAAATTTAGCCAGGCGTGGTGACTCATGCCTGTAATCCCAGCACTTTGGGAGGTGGAGGCAAGAGGATTGCCTGAGCCCAAGCGTTCAAGACCAGCCTGAGCAACTTGGTGAGACCTCATCTCTACAATAAATCAAAAACATTAACCGGGCATGGTCGCCTTTATCTGTGGTTCCAGCTACTTGGAAGGCTGAGGCGGAAGGATCACCTGAGCTCAGCAGGTCAAGGCTGCTGTGGCCATGAATGTGCCACTGCAGTCCAACCTGGGCGACAGAGTGAGACTAACAATAAATAAAAATAAATAAATAAATAAATAAATATTTGTTAAAAGTATAAATGATCAGCCAGGCTCAATGGCTCAGTCTGTAATCCCAGCACTTTGGGAGGCTGAGGTGAGTGGATCGCCGGAGCCCAACAGGTTGAGGCTGCGGTGGCTGGTTGGGAGCGTGCCACTGCCCTCCAGCCTGGGTGACAGAGTGGAACTCCAACTCAAAAAATAAAAAAATAAATAAAGCAGTTTTAAAAAAAATTAAATTTAAATTTTTAATTGAGTCAGAGTCTCGCTATGTAACCCAGGCAAGCGATCCTCCCACCTCAGCCACCCAAAGTACTGGTATTACAGATGTGAACAACAGCACCCAGCCTTTTAAAGCAGTTTTTATGTATTTATTTATTTTTACCTTAAAAATAAATTTTTTTTTTTGAGTTGAAGTCTCATTCTGTCACCCAGACTGGAGTGCAGTGGCACACTCCCAGCCACCGCAGCCTCGTCCTGCTGGGCTCCACGATCCTTCCACCTCAGCCTTCTGAGTAGCTGGAACTACAGGTGCACGCTACCATGCCCAGCTAATTTTTTTTGATTTATTGTAGGGATGTGATCTCGCCAAGTTGCCTTAGCGGGTCTCGAACCCTTGGGCTCAGGCAACCCACTCACCTCAGCCTCCCAAAGCGCGGGATTACAGGCTGAGCCACCGAGCCCAGCCTTAAAATTTTTTGAGTGAGAGTCTCACACTGTCACCCAGGCTGGAGTGCAGTTGCATAGTAAAGATGCAGCCTTCTGCCTCAGCCACCTAAGTAGCTGGAACCAAAGACACTCGCCACCATGCCTGGCTAATTTTTTGATTTATTGTAGAGATGATGTCTCGCCTCGTTGTCCAGTTTTCAAAAATGTAAGTGATACTAATTTTAAATGTATACAACTATAAAGAAGAAAAATATATATGCATGTGTATGTATATTATATGTGTTTGTGTATAGATGTAATACTATAACCCAAAAATTACTATTAACATCTCAGTGAATTATCAGTCTTTTTTAAAATAGCAGAAATGGTTCGAGACCCGCCTGGGCGGCGAGACCTCATCTCTACAATAAATCAAAAAATCAGCCGGGCGTGATAGCGCATGCCTGTAATTCCGGCTACTCAGAAGGCTGAGGTGGAAGGATCACCGGAGCCCAGCAGGTCGAGGCTGCAGTGGCCGGGAGTGGCCACTGCACTCCAGTCTGGGCGACAGAGTGAGACTCCAACTCAAAAAAAATAAATAAATAAAAATAGCAGAAATGGCCAGGCACAGTTGCTCACGCCTATAATTGCAAGTACTTTGGGAGGCTGAGGTGAGAGGATTGCTTGAACCCATGGGTTCAAGACCAGCTTGAGCAACTTGTTGAGACCTCATCTATTTTTAAAAAATAGCAGATAATCCTCTATGTAATATTTGTATTCTGTACTTTTTACTCAAGTATTGTCCCATGCAGTCACAAAGTGTTCACCAGCATATTAATAAATACATAGTATTCCATCATAGCTGTACCTATAACTCAATCATTCACCTGATGGTGGACAATTAAGCTATTTCCTGTATTATAAGCAAAACTGTAATGAACATATTTGTGCAAAAGCCTTTTCAGATTATTTTAAGTTGTATTTCTTGGGACACTGGGGTCTCCTTGAAAAAGCAGCAGGCATGCCATAAATGGTAATTGGAAGATGCGTTGTTTGGCAGACCTTTGTCTCAGTTTTTCAGACTGGGTATGGTAGCTCACGCCTATAATCCCAGCACTTTGGAAAGCCAAAGTGGGAGAAGCGCTTAAGGCCAGGAATTCAAGACCAGCCTGAGAAATGTAGTGAGACCCCTTCTCTACAAAGAAAAGTAAATTATTGTAACTAGCCAGGCATGGTGGCACATGCCTGTAGTCCTAGCTACTTGGGATGCTGAGGCAGGAAGAGTGCTTTAACCCAGAGGGTTGAGATTGCAGTGAGCTATGATCATGCCACTGAACTCTAGCATGGGCAACACAGCAAGACCCTATCTCTATAAAATAAACAGTTTTGCTGTACTCCCTTAAGACTTCTTTGGTTTATTGAAATGATTAATTAGCCGGGCTCGGTGGCTCAGCCTGTAATCCCGCGCTTTGGGAGGCTGAGGTGAGTGGATTGCCTGAGTCCGCGGGTTCAAGACCAGCCTGGGCAACTTGGCGAGACCTCATCTCTACAATAAATAAAAAATCAACCGGGCATTGTAGCGCATGCCTGTAATTCTGGCTACTCAGAAGACTGAGGCGGGAGGATCGCCGGAGCCCAGCAGGTTGAGGCTGCAGTGGCCGGGAGCGGCCACTGCACTCCAGTCTGGGCGACAGAGTGAGACTCCAACTCAAAAAAAAAAAAAAAGAAATGATAATTAATTTTCCAGAATTCTATATGTGTACAGCTTTGAAGATATTAAAGGCTGCCTGCATTAGAACACATCTGCCCTGTTAACGGATAACAATCATTCATAACTCTCATGCAATTTAAAAACTTTTCCCCACACCCCTATGCTCATGTATTGAGTACATGTCTTTCCTCTGTGCCCATGCTTTGTGTATATTATCTCATTTAATCCATACCTCAGCCCTGAGAGGTAGGTATTATCTGGTATTATCTTTGTCTGTATTTTACATCTATAGAAACTGAAGCTTAGAGAAGTAACTAGTGAAAGGCCACACAGTTATTTAGTGAGATAACCTGGTTTCAACTCCAAATCCCATGTTCTTTTTTTGTGGGGGTGGGTTGGAGTCTCACTGTCACACAGGCTGGAGGGTAGTAGCATGCTCCCAGCCTCGGCAGCCTCGACCTGCTGGGCTCAGATGATCCTTCTTTTTTTTTTTTTTTGAGTTGGAGTCTCACTCGGTCGCCCAGACTGGAGTGCAGTGGCCGCTCCCGGCCACCGCAGCCTCGCCTGCTGGGCTCCAGCGATCCTTCCACCTCAGCCTTCCAAGTAGCTGGAATTACAGGCACGAGCTACCACACCCGGCTGATTTTTTTTTCATTTATTGTAGAGATGAAGTCTCGCTGTCCAGGTGGGTCTCGAACCCGCAGGCTCAGGCAATCCACTCACCTTAGCCTCCCAAAGGCGCAGGATTACAGGCTGAGCCACTGAGCCCGGCTCAGACAATCCTTCTACCTCAGCCTTTCAAGTAGCTGGAACTACAAGTGCATGCCACCACGCCTGGCTAATCTTTATTACAGAGACAAGGTCTCTCCAAGTTGCCCAGGTCTCGAACCCCTGGGCTCAAGCAATGTTCTCGCCTCGGCCTCCCAAAGTGGGTGTGAGCCACTACTCCTGGCTTTAAATCCCATGTTTTGTTATCCTATGCTGCCATATCAGGAGACCCTGCTGACTTTTATTTAAAACTAGAACTTTTTCCCCATTCCTTCAACATGTCAATTATCGATATTGTCTTGAAAAAAGAAGACTCTAGCCAGGTACAGCAGTACATGCCTGTAGTCCCAGCTACTAAAGAGTCTGAACCGAGAAAATCACTTGAGCCCAGAAGTTCGAGCCCAGGAGATTTCATCTTCAAAAATGAGGGAAAAAATGTAGAAGGAGACTCTGAAGGCATTTCACAGGAGGAGACTCATTCATTTTAACATTGGAGCAATCTAAATGGAAGCTTAAGAGGTCATTTTAAATTCAAAGCAGGGAATGACTATCTAATGCCCAGCAGAAGGGGCATGCATGTTAGGCAGTGGGCTCTCTAGTCCTAGAAGTGTCCGAGCAGAGGCTCTATAGGCTGGACAGGAAGGGAGGCCTGGATCAGGTTGGTGAGCTGGAGTGAATGACCCCAAGACTTCTTTCTACTCCAAGCATTTCTGCTTGCTAGACAGTGATGGAGAGGCTTGGGTCTATTTCTCTTGTTCTTGTTTCATAGTTTTGCCATTTCATGTCACCACTGTATTTACTTTTCTAGACACTCTGACCTGGTCACAGCCAGAGACACTTGGAAATCCTCCATCTCCCCGGCATGGTCATGTGATGGTGGCAGCAGGGACAAAGCTCTTCATCCATGGAGGCTTGGCAGGGGACAAATTCTATGATGATCTCCACTGCATTGATATAAGTGAGTAGGGTGGAGGACATGGGGACTTGTCTGCTTGAGATTTTTTTTTTTTTTTTTTTTTTTTGAGTTGGAGTCTCGCTCTGTCGCCCAGGCTGGAGTGTATTGGCACACTCATGGCCAACCCAGTGTTGATCTGCTGGGCTCCAGCGATCCTTCCACTTCAGCCTTCCAAGTAGCTGGAACTACGAGTTTGTGCTACCACGCCCGGCTATTTTTTTATTTTTTATTGTAGAGACAAGGTCTTGCTAAGTTGCCTGGGCTGGTCTCAAACCCTTGGACTCAGGCAATCCACTCACCTTGGTCTCCCAAGGTGCTGGGATTACAGATTGAGCCACCATTTAAAGATGATGGTCTCACTGGGCATGGTGGCTCACACCTGTAATCCCAGCACTTTGGGAGGCAGAGGCGAGAGGATTTGCTTGAGCCCAGACGTGCAAGACCAGCCTGGGCAACTTGGCAAGACCTCATCTCTACAATAAGTCAAAACAGGCCGGGCTCGGTGGCTCAGCCTGTAATCCCAGCACTTTGGAGGCCAAGGTGAGTGAATTGCCTGAGCCTGCAGGTTCGAGACCTGCCTGGGGAACTTGGCGAGACCTCATCTCCACTATAAATCAAAAACTAGCTGGGCGTGGTAGCGCCCGCCTGTAGTTCCAGCTACTTGGAAGGCTGAGGCGGAAGGATCGCCGGAGTCCAGCAGGTCGAGGCTGCAGTGGCCGGGAGCGGCCATTGCACTCCAGTCTGGGTGACAGAGTGAGACTCCAACTCAAAAAAATAATAATAATAATAAGTCAAAACATTAGCCAGGCACGGTGGTGCATGCCGGTAGTTCCAGCTACTTGGACGGCTGAGACGAGAAGATCATCTGAGCCCAGCAGGTTGAGGCTGCAGTGGCCGTGAGCGTGCCACTGCACTCCAGTTTGGGTGACAGAGTGAGACTCTGACTCAAAAATAAATAAATAAATAAATAAAGGTGATGGTCTCTCGTGTATTAGGGGAAAAAATAAGTAAATAATAAAATAAAGGTGATGACAACATAAAAATTTGTATCACATTTCACAGTGGGCTCCAGAGACCATTTATACCACATAGAACCACCTGGGATGCTTGTTAAAACTTTCTCTGAGCCCTTCTTGCCCTGTACTTCCCAATCAGAATTTCTTGTAAATTCTGCTGTGCATCTAAACCTTGCTGTTTTAACTCTCAGAACCTTCAGTGATTGGTTTGCAAACTGCAGTAGACAGATAAGTTTGAAACCAAGTATTAGTCTATGTTGTGCCAAAATACTTTCTTTCTCTTGGCAGGTGACATGAAATGGCAGAATCTAAGTCCCACTGGGGCTGCTCCAGCAGGCTGTGCTGCCCACTCGGCTGTGGCTGTAGAGAAACACCTGTACATTTTTGGTGGAATGACTCCCTCTGGGGCACTGGACACGATGTACCAATATCACACAGGTGAGCATGTGTCCCTTTGGGTCCTTAAATTGTAAACATTCTTTGAAAAGTGATGGCCATGAGGTTAGATTGCCTGAGCCCGCGGGTTCAAGACCCGCCTGGGCAACTTGGTGAGCCCTCATCTCTACAATAAATCAAAATTAGCCGGGCGTGGTAGCATGCGCCTGTAGTTCCAGCTACTCAGAAGGCTGAGGCGGAAGGATCGCCAGAGCCCAGCAGGTCGAGGCTGTGGTGGCCAGGAGCGGCCACTGCACTCCAGTCTGGGTGACAGAGTGAAACTCCGACTCAAAAAAAAAAAAAAGAAAGAAAAAGAAAAGTGATGGCCAGGCATGGTGACTCACGCCTATAATCCCTGCAGTTTGGGAGGCCAAGGTGAGAGGATTGCCTGAGCCCACGGGTTCGAGACCAGCCCGGGCAACTTGGTGAGACCTCATCTCTACAATAAATCTAAAAATTAGCCAGGCTTGGTGGCGTGCACCTGTAATTCCAGCTACTCAGAAAGCCGAGGCAGAAGAATCACCTGAGCCCAGCAGGTCGAGTCTGTGGTGGCCATGAACGTGCCACTGCCCTCCAGCCTAGGCAACAGAGTGAGACTCTGACAAAAAAATAAAATGATGTTGTGCTTTGACTTTCTGATTTTTTTTTTCTGTATCTAACCTAAAGGAATGAAAACCAGACATGTTAGAATGACATCATTAAAGCACTGCCACTAGGTTTTCTCCTTTTATTTCCTATTAGGACTCTGCTGATATAGTAAATCACCGAACATTTCTGGAAATTTCCTAACATGGAGCCTTTGGTGTTTTTTTCCCCCCAACATAGAAAAGCAGCATTGGACCTTGCTTAAATTTGATACTCCTCTGCCCCCTGGACGATTGGACCATTCCATGTGTATCATTCCATGGCCAGTGAGGTGTACTTCTGAGAAAGAAGATTCAAATTCTGCTACTGGAAACTGTAAAGCTGGCAAAGGGGATTCAACTGACAACGGAGCGACTGAAGGTGGTGACTCATGTGAGGAAAGCCAAAGTGAGACATTGCTGTGTTTTGTGTTTGGTGGGATGAATACAGAAGGGGAAATCTATGACGATTGTATTGTAACTGTAGTCGACTAATAAAACCCACATTTTTATGGCTTGTTACTTTCAGAAGTGAAAACCTGTTTTATACCTCCAAAATGTTTTCTGCGCTATATATATCCATCTTTCTCTTATCTACTTTGGTAGATGAAGAAATTAACTGGATTGCCCAGTGCAAAAACCTCCATCATATAAAGGACTTTACCAGCGATATAACCTAGGTAACTGTGATTAGTTGTATTGAATACTGATCACAGAATTGTCATAGTAGGGTTAGGGTTTTTTTAAATTGCAGAATCCTAGGCCAGGCACAGTGGCTCAAACCTGTAATCCCAGCATTTTGGGAGGCCGAGGGAAGGGGATTGCCCGAGCTCAGGGGTTTGAGACCAGCCTGAGCAACTTGGTGAGACCGCATCTCTACAATAAACCAAGAAATAAGCCAGGTGTGGTAGCACACACCTGTAGTTCCAGCTATTTGGAAGGCTGAGGCCACAGGATCACCTGAGCCCAGCAGATGAGGCTGTGGTGGCCGTTAGCATGCCACTGCATTGCAGCCTGGGCGACGGAATGAGACCCCAACTCAAAAAAAACAAAACAAAACTATCCAGACGTGGTGGCACACACCTGTAGTTCCAGCTACTTGGAAGACTGAAGCAGAAGGATCGCCTGGGTTCAGCAGATTGAGGTTGAGGTGGATATGAGCGTGCCACTGCACTCCAGCTAGGAGATAGAGTGATTCTCGACTCAAAAATAAAAAATCACTCTTAGCTGGTTGTTCACATATAAAATTACTAACACTGGTTGGACTCAGTGGCTCAGCCTGTAATCCCAGCGCTTTGGGAGGCCGAGGCAAGTGGATTGCCTGAGCCCATGGGTTAGAGACCCACCCAGGCAACTTGGCGAGACCGCGTCTCTACAATAAAAAATTAACCGGGCATGGTAGCACACACCCGTAGTTCCGGCTACTTGGAAGACTGGGCGGAAGGATTGCCGGAGCCCAGCGATTGAGGCTGTGATGGCCAGGAGCATGTCACTGCACTCTAGTCTGGGCTACGGAGTAAGACTCCAACTCAAAAAAAAAAATTACTAGCACCACGCAGGCTGCCCTTTATTGATCATTACTTATTCACCTAGACCTTCCCTTTCCCAAGGAAGCCAATCTAAGTAATCCTAACCTGTCTCAACACAGGTCACTGCCTTTGACCTGCAATCACAGTGGGGAGAGCTTTAGTGTAGTTGCAGCACCACCACCCTAGATCCCACTCCAGTACCCTAGTACCACCAATTGAGAAGTATCAGGGATAGAAATTGACAGAGTTCACAATATACCTTTATATCCTAAAATTGTAAGTTAAATCCAAGTGTGTAATGTTAACAACAATGACCAATTCCCATCAATTCTCAAAGAGAATCCAAGCAGCCATAAAGCATTATTAGTTATAGCCATCAGAAAGGCAGTTTTAGAAAGATAAGGGGAAATAGGAAATTCCAGTTATGTTCAAGAAAACTCCACTCTTGGGCACTGTGAAAGAGCCCTTGCTTAGATGAGGGTAGGCAAATTCCCTCCAACTACTGAAATGTTTGTTTATCTCAATATTCCAAACACCACCCCACAACAGATTCACACATGAGAATCTAACCTTAAACTTCAGTTATCTTCCTAAAATAAATGATCTAATCAGAAGCTTTTCACAAAAACTAGACCAATGTAAATAACAAACATTTATTGGTGTCACTTATGGTAGAAAAAAAGTTCCTACACCAGATGCACATGACCCAATTGTTAAATAGAACATTTCAAGGTGGACACACACCCTAACCCAGTTTTACCCACTTTTTAAGATAGCCAATTCCTCCTCTCCCCCCACCCCAAGACATGAGCAACTGCTAATGAAAAGCAGTAAACAGCCACTTGGGCTATAGCATTTTCAACTCCACTCTGAGGTGAAGATTCCAATTACATTCGAGACTTAAGTTCTCTCAATTTTTCCTAACGAAAGTTCCTGAGTCCAGTATTTACAATTATTACAGCATTAGATCAGTGCCTACAACTCATCTTTTTCTGCTGTATCCTCTTCACCCGTTGGGGGAGGGCCTGCACTTCCATAGAGTTTGCTGATAATTGGCTGAACAATTTCTTCTAGCTCCTTCTTTTTAGCTTTGAAGTCTTCAATGTCAGCATCTTGGTGGCTTTCCAGCCATTCGATCTTTTCTTCTACAGCTTTTTCCATGGTCTCCTTATCTTCAGAGGAAAGTTTACCTCCCAGCTTTTCTTTATCTCCAATCTGATTCTTTAGAGAATAGGCATAGCTTTCCAACTCATTTCTAGTATCAATGCGCTCCTTAAGCTTTTTGTCTTCCTCAGCAAATTTCTCAGCATCATTAACCATCCTTTCAATTTCTTCAGGTGTCAGGCGATTCTGGTCATTGGTAATTGTGATCTTATTTTTGTTCCCTGTACCTTTGTCTTCAGCTGTCACTCGAAGAATGCCGTTCACATCTATCTCAAAGGTGACTTCAATCTGTGGGACCCCACGGGGAGCAGGAGGAATGCCAGTCAGATCAAATGTACCCAGAAGGTGATTGTCTTTTGTAAGGGGTCGTTCACCTGGAAATTGTACACAGAAAAAACTTGTTAGTGACAAGCATTAATGTCTGGATCCCTACATTTCAGTCTGTTACAGCCTAAAGCGGTAAGGGCATTTTCTTGAGTTTGAAGTGACTCCGTGTTGGTCTATAAGGAGCAGCAACTGGGACTAAGAATGAGTTAAGCTATACTAACTCTGTGGTGGCTCATGCCTGCAATCCCAGCACTTTGTGAGGCAGAGGCAAGAGGTCGGCCTGAGTCCAGGGGTTTGAGACCAGTCTGGGCAACATGGCAAGACCTCGTCTCTACAATAAATTTTTAAAATTAGCCAGGCATGGTGGTGCACACCTGTAGCTCCAGTTACTTGGAAGGCTGAGGTGGAAGGATTGCCTGAGCCCAGTAGGTTGAGGCTGCAGTGGCCGTGAATGTACCACTGCACTCCAGCCTGGGTGACAGTGACTCTGACTCCAAAAAAAAAAAAGTTAAACAACTGATTTTCATCTATTTGTGGAATGCTTTCTTGCTCTTGAATTCTAGGAGCCAGGTGAGAAGGCATTTTTAATGGGAAAGAGTGCTAAATAGCTAGGTAAGTGCTGACTCTGTGAAACTCAACACTAGTCAAATTAAGGAACCCCTCATCTGAAAAGAGCAGCTACTTCTTTCCCTAGCCATTTCAATGCAGTATATTAAACAAGTCATGTTCTTTTAAAACATACCATGATATTAACAAATATAAGCAATTACCTTCATAGACCTTGATTGTAACAGTTGGTTGGTTATCAGAAGCGGTAGAAAAGATTTGAGATTTCTTGGTGGGCACCACAGTGTTCCTTGGAATCAGTTTGGTCATGACACCTCCCACAGTTTCAATACCAAGTGTAAGGGGACATACATCAAGCAGTACCAGATCTCCTGCAAAGGTAAATCATTTAATTTAACTTCTAATTCATGTTCTCCCCATGAACTGTTTAAGTTTCTTACTTCTCCATCTTACCATTTCAATAACTTCAAAGCACAAACATTTTTTGAGGCAGTGAACAGTTGCTAAGGATCCTGAGACTGCCCCAAGTCTTGTTTTCACGGTACCCTTTACTAGCTATGTGGCTTTATTGCTCATATTCTATTGTTTTCTAAAGCAACAGCTAATGGTAGCCTTTCCATCAAGCTACTGAACTATCAGGGAAGATGCTATGATGATGACCTACCTGTATCTTGATCACCAGAGAGCACACCAGCCTGAACAGCAGCACCGTATGCTACAGCTTCATCTGGGTTTATGCCTCGGGATGGCTCCTTGCCATTGAAGAACTCTTTAACCAGTTGTTGAATCTTTGGAATTCGAGTAGAGCCACCAACAAGAACAATTTCATCAATATCAGCCTTCTTCAAATCAGAATCTTCCAACACTTTCTGGACAGGCTTCATGGTAGATCGGAACAGGTCCTAGAATAAGAAACATGGTTACTGTTATGCCTGTTGTAACCTAGATGTCATCTATATATATCTAGATGCAATGCTCTAAATTAAGAGAGCCTAATGAGATCTCATTACAAAACAAAAAACATACCATGTTTAGCTCTTCAAATTTGGCCCGAGTCAGGGTCTCAGAAAAGTCTTCTCCTTCATAGAAGGACTCGATTTCAATTCTTGCTTGATGTTGAGAAGACAAGGCCCGTTTGGCCTTTTCTACCTCACGCCGGAGTTTCTGCACAGCTCTGTTATCTTTCCTAACATCCTTGCCAGTCTTCTTTTTGTAAAGTTTGATGAAGTGTTCCATAACACGCTGGTCAAAGTCTTCACCACCCAGATGAGTATCTCCATTAGTGGCCACGACTTCAAAGACACCATTGTCAATGGTGAGAAGAGACACATCAAAAGTTCCGCCACCCAAGTCAAACACCAGGATGTTCTTCTCTCCCTCCCTCTTATCCAGGCCATAAGCAATAGCAGCTGCAGTACTGTTAGGAGAATGGAAAAGGCTCAGTCAACAGTTCACATTTCCCCTATTTGGCAAATATGCCATATCCCTGAATTTTCCACTTACGGCTCATTAATGATCCTCATGACATTTAGTCCAGCAATAGTTCCAGCATCTTTGGTTGCTTGGCGCTGGGCATCATTGAAATAGGCTGGTACAGTAACAACTGCATGGGTAACCTAAAAGGAAAAGCTTATTTTGTCACACGGTTTTACCTTTATTTAAATTACAGTCAAACTATCACTACTTTTTAAGCCAACTTATTAATAAGTATAATACACACAATTTTATATCCATGGAATTGCAAGCATTAGACGACAGTTAATACATGAAAAGTGCCTAGTACTGTTTGGCCTACAGTAAATCTCTAAATAATGAAAACTTACAAACATGGATATCATTCAGGGTCAAATTTTTATAACCATGAAGGAATGTACACATAATTGCCAACCAAGAATAGTAATGATGAAAAAATATTTAATATTGTTCGAGAAATAC